TGGCCAGCCCTGATGAATTGACCCTGCTTGAAGTTTCATGAGTTGCAGGTGCTCCTCCCAATAGACTAGAGTCTGAATCTGTTCCAGTTTCAACTGAACCAGCAAAGCCTGAACCTCCAGCTTCCCTGCTTTTCTTGTTCTTCAGTCTGTAGCACTCACTGATGATGTGGTTTTCCTTTTTACAGTACCTACAGAACTTCTTTCCATCCTTGTAATCCCTGCTGTTGGAATTGGGATTCTGTGGTCCTCCAACAGCCAGAGCAACTGAGTCCACTCCCTTGGTCTTATGAACTCCTTTCATCTGTCGTTCCAATTGCAAGATTTGCTTGAAAACAACATCAATGGGTGGCAAGCTAGAGTTCATAAGGACCTGGGTTCTAGCTGACTGATACTCATCATTCAACCCTTGCATAAATTTGATCACAAAATCATTATCCTGGTAGCGTTTCATTGTTTCATATGGACCATTACAAGGACAAGTGGGAATTGGACGATACTTCTTGTATTCTTCCCACTAAACAGTTGCATTGGTAAAGTATTGGCTCACAGATTGTTCTCCTTGAACACATTTAGCCAAAGCCCCTTTTAAATCATAAACCCTAATATTGTCCTCCTGACTGAATCTGTTTTTCAGATTATCCCAAACAGCTCGAGCAGTTTCCAAACCCATGACACTATTTGCTATATCTTCTGCTAAAGAATTGTAAATCCAGCAGCGAATAGTGCCATTGCAACGAAGCCAGGACTGGTAAGTGGGTTCTGTTACCTCAGGAGTAGAAATGGTTCCATCGATGAACCCAATCTTGTTTTTGGTTGCAAGAGCAACAAGCATCACCTGACTCCATGTGTGGTAGTTGCCGTCGACGAGCTTGACTGAGATGATGGTAGACAGCGCTCCATCTTGTGGCGGAAGGTAGTATGGGTTGAGGTAAGGGTCCTCATAGGTAGGATTTGCAGAAACAGAAGAGGTTTGTGTGGATCTGCCTGCTGATGATTCATCAGCCATGGCTGCGTCAAGAAATAGATTTTAAGAGGAAAAATGAGAAGTGAAATGGACAGGGGACGAAACCCTAGCACTGGTGAGAGCAACCAGGCTCTGATACCATGAGAAGAAAGTCCAGATCTGGGGAATTTGCTCTCTGAGCTTTTCCATTGATGAATCAGCAGTATATATACAGAGATTTACACTAATCACTGTAACTTAACGGCTATCAAAACTAACAAACAAATTGACCTATCTAAGCTGTACACGTAGCTTAACTACAGTAAATAATGAAAGGCAGTTCGTTGATGAAGTGTTGCGTTTTGTGTGCCACTTATTCTGCACGCCACCGTTTCACTTTGCTTCATCTTCTTTGTCTTGTACGCTGCCGTTTCGCTCTGTTCTTCTTCCTTCGTTTTGTTCTTCAATTCCAGAACAGAGAACTTCTTCTTCTTCTTAGCTGCTGTCAAGCAACTTCTTTCTTCTGCTAAATCATCATATCTATCATGGCTCCTTGTTACAACCAAACAAAACCATACACTTGAAACAAATGGGTGGACCAATGGGCATGGTCTGGTCTTTACGAATGTTAAGGCCCACTTGAAATCGTGTAAAATTATGGGGCCAAGGCCTCGTCTGGCGATGCAGAGATTTGCACCCATCGAAGTCGCAGCAACAATCGATCGCCAAGCACGAAATTGGGCTTAAGTAACACGAGATATATTGGCCCAATTCCCTCTTCTAGTTTTAGTCAGTAGAAGCGCAATTCAATTTTGGCTCACGCGAAGCACTACTATTACTGAGAGCAAGCCCAATGCCCAATTCAGTTTTTACCGTTCTAGAACCAAGCTTTCCGATTTAGTATTTTGTTCGATAAAAGTAAGTGAAAATGATAAGGATCGTATGAATAGCAGCGTTGAACCCATAAAACGTAGAAGTGAGAGAGAGAGAGAACTGATTTCAAACATGTTATTCATATGATTATGGACTAAATTTATATCGTACATGGGAGATTTTATTGTACAACAATAATTATATAGAAAAAAAGAAGGAAAAAAAACCCTAGCTAGCTAGTCCTATCTATCGCGGCCATCTCAACCTCCCCTCTGGCCACGTAGGGGACCACCCGCTCCCTAGAGATGGGGCAGGTGGAGTGGGTGTCAAACCACCGGTCCACACAGGACTGGTGGAAGACCTGCCCACAGTCTGGAAGCCGCCGCACTACGTCTCCATCCCTGTAATGCTCCAGGCAAATTGGGCAGGTGGCCTGCTCCTCCTCCCCTGAAAACTGGCGCAAGGGAAGGGTACGGCGTACGTGGCGCGGCAGAGGTCGTGGCCGTCCCACGAACCAACTCCAGCCCCAGCAGAAGACGGCGAAAACCAAAACCGTGATCACCATCAGGCAGACCACTGCTCCCATGATGATCAGCCCCGCGTAGCGTGACGCACTTTTCGCCTTGGTTGGCATCTTTTCTTGGCTGCTAATTAAGCGATGGCAGTAAGAGGGGGCGAGAAGATGGAAGATAAAGGGGGCGAGGAAGAGAAGAAAGCTATCCATCTTATTTATACAGGCAGAAGAAGAGCGGTGAAGGAATTGAAGCATCTGCATGCATGGCAATTAGAGTAAAATCTGTAACATCCTCCTGCAACCGCCTTTGGCCCATTGCAGCTTCCGGTCGAGTGGGCCTTGCCAACACGTAAAGGCTAGCCGCCAGCCCATTTAAGATTCCGAGGAAGTTAGGATTTGCATTTGCCACAAGGGTAAGCATAAGCATGCATGCGAACCTCGTGAGTCGTGACGTTACAAGGAAGGGTTGATCGATGGACTTACTCTTGGCAGTTGGAACGAAGCATAATTTGTAGCTTTGTGAACGTAATAATTTGTTACTAGCTCTATTTTATTTTTCATATATGCTCATATCATATGCTATAAATAATAACAAAATCAAACTTATTTTTGTCAGATTTTCTGTCCAAAGATTATTAATCCGAATCAGATCGTTGGCGTCATTGTCTGCCCTAATAATTCCACGACCACCACCTCTAATAATTGAAAATGACACCCCCTCCGCTTCAAACCGTGAGATCAGCAAATTCAAAAGTGTCACTTTGGTGATGGTGGGGAAGATACTTTAACTTTTTTTTTCTTCTATATTTTTTTGATGAAGGTGAGGAATGCATTAAAGAAAAAATAAGAAATGAAACAGAGTCCTTTACAAATGGGCTGCACAAGAGGTGCAGCACACAGGGAGCAACCGTTTTTTTCTTCTATATATACTTACCCAAATTAATCAGGGTGGGTAATCGCAGCGGCGGGTAGTGTAACGGGTCAACTTTCTTTTGTTTTGTTGTTAAATGAATTGGGTAAGTTGGATAGGTTTTTTTTATTCCAAATTGATTCACCTAGAGTTGGTGCGATGTTGATATACTATTCGTCCACATTTTTTCCGAATTGGGTTAGGTGGTGGGTTAATCCGAAAAAGCAATTCTTCGACTAGATATTAGTCAATGGAAGAACCCAGTCGATTTCTTGGCAAGTTTCTTTGGTTCGGTTACCACCCATCTTTCTCGTCCCTATATTAACAAGGATTAAAACCTAACAGTCACAGATCAAAGACCAATTAGGAATTTCGAAAAATAGAAGACCAGTGAACGGCCAACAATGAAACAAAAGGGTGAAGTTAATGACCAATAAGAAAGAAAACAAATTTCAAGTGACAAAAGTGAAAGAAATTAATAAACCAAGTGACCAAACTTGCAATTAACCGGTTAGTATAATATATATATATATATACTAGATTTGCACCCGGCCCGTTGGCCGGATACATTTTATCAATCGTATAAACAATAATAGTAATTTTATTTTTATTTTCTATTATAAGAGAATCCAAATATTAAATTATTGGAAAAAAATAAAAACACGAATCATAAATTGAAATTTTTTACGACATGCTAGTTGATCCATCAACTAACATCAATACCAAACTTAAAATAAATGATGCAAGGGAATCCACTCCTAAAAATGTGTTCAAACCACATTTCGATTAGAAGAAGTTACTGCAGATTTTCTTTTGAACTTCTCAATTGTTTTGTCATAATTAACATTATCAATTTATCATCCCACTAATAACAACACCTTCATCTTCGTAATAGCACCTTTATTTCCAAAATAAATATTTTACTATTGTTCTCTCGCATTTAAACAATCTCTTCTTCTTCTCCTAAATTTCATTGAAATCTAAATTTAATGGTAATCTTTTTACAAATACAAAACATACTTTTACTATATTTTTATAGAAATATAAGAGATCTATTTAATAGACTACATATATTATTATTTTATTAGAGTTGAGACTCAATGGAGCCGTATCAAATTCCATTTGATTAGGATAATATTTATCTAATATGTATTGAAATAAAATGTTGGAAGCCCAAACTAAAAATAGAAACCTAATATGTATTGAAATAAAATGTTGGAAGCCCAAACTAAAAATAGAAACATGATTATTTGATAAATGTCAAACCCAATAATGAACTTACTTCTCCCTCGGTGGAATAGAAAAGAAGAGGCGTAAAAGCAAAATAAAAAGGTAAAAGGACGTTTGTGTCCTGCCGTGAGATGCGCTCAGGGCTACAATTAGTGTTTTAAGCCCCTTCTCACGCAGAATCTCCATAAATGAGTGTGTAGATAGATATAATTTTACTTTTTTTTTGTTTTTTTTATTAAATATTTTAAATCCCAGGCTCCCAGTCTCCCACCATGCTGTTCTTTTCTTTCTCCCAGTGAAGCTAAAATGGCCTACCTTTTGAATCCATTGCTTATAGCACGTACTTACCCTTTAATTTCTAGTAAATAAATACTCCCCAAGCCCCGGCCTTCCCCCCAATTAATCTTGCTTGCTGCAGTGCTCAACGTACATCTCCACTCTCTCCACTCCCATCTCTTCTCAGTCCCTCCCTATCTTTTCCACATACAAGCGTTGCAGAAAAAGTAGGCCAACCAAATTAAATAAACAAAATGCCCACAGTACCCTTCTTCTGGAGAAACCTCCTGCAATGCCTCCCCACCACCACCGCCGCTCCGGACCCGCTCCCCTCCGAACAACCCGGACCCGACCCGCCTCCGCCCGCCACGTCATCATCCATTCTCTTCAGCACTAACTACAACTCCATCTTCGACATATCCTCCTCCACGTCCACCTCGCTCCTCTCCTCCGCCACCGCCACATCCACTGACTCCTCCGAATCCGACGACTCGCATCATCCCCCGGATTTCGCAACCGTCTTCGCCTCCCATCGCTTCTTCTTCTCCTCCCCCGGCCTCTCCAGCTCCATTATCTCCAATCACGACAACAAGATCGCCGCACCAAACCCTCCTCCGCTGGAGGGTGGCGTGGCGGTGAAGAAGTACTCGCCGGATCCGTACGCGGACTTCAAGAAGTCGATGGTTGAGATGATCGAGTCGCGGCGAATCAAGGACGCGCGCGGGAACTGGGACTACTTGCACGAGTTGCTCTCCTGTTACCTCGACATGAACCCCAAGAACACTCACTGTTACATTATTGCCGCCTTCGCCGACATTGTCGTCCGTTTGCTGTCCACGTCACCGCCGCCAGAAGTACTCCACGACCACGAGACCAGTCCCCGCCCCCTGCCGGCAGCACTGTAGTCGCATTCCCAACTTGGAAATCGTGTAACTTAACACATTTCACTTTTTTTTTCTCTCTTAAGTGACTATGTTAATTATTATTTTCAGTAATATATATATATATATGAGACAATATCCATGTCGGCTAATGCGAACGGAGTGGAATGCAAAATGGCCGCCGTTAATCGCCATGTTCAGCTGACACGACCAGAATCTGAAACACTGGTTATGGTTCCAGAGAGTTCAGTTCCTGCTGTTTCGATGGGATTTAGTTAATTAATTATTCGTAAGGGACGTTAAATTAATAAATTGAGTTAATTAATTAATAATCCCCGCGACTTGTATTTTTTTGTTTTTTTTTTTTTTTTTGGTTTGTTTACCTTTTTGCTGCGTGGTGTTTGGTAGTGAAATTTGGTTTTATCTGGCGGGAGGTGTAATGTAAGCAATAATGCAGGAGGAGAAAGGTCAGAGACCCCTATATGCTGATAATTGATCATATAAGGCAAAATACAATTATGAACAATAATTAATTAATTCATTAGTGAAGCGTGGAGTGGAGCGGTGATGTGTCTCGATGCATAATTTTGTTTGTCATTTAGTAGGAGGAAATGAGTGCCCACTTCGATGCACGGTTGTATATAAGTGCATGCACTCAAGACAAAATAAGAAATGTTGGCATCTCATCGCTACTGTTTAGAGGTGGCAAATAGATTGGATTGGTGGATTGGATTGGTGGATCTATGGATCAAATGGATTGGATCTAATGGATTGGTGGATTCATGGATTGGATCAAGTGGATTGGTGAATTATCCATAAATCCAAATGACATCCCCAACCAAGGACCAATATGTAAAATGTAAAAAGTTTAGCTACTAAAATGTCACAATGAAAAATTTTAGGTACCAAAACGTAATTTTCCAATGATATTTTTCGTATAAAAAATAAAATTTTAGGTACCAAAATGTAAAAAATAAAAATTATAGGTACTAAACTGTAATTTGCCAATGATTCATGGATCCAATCCATGAATCCACCAATCCAATTGGATTTGGATCAAATGGATTGGATTTAAATGGATTGGATTAGGTGGATATTTTTAATGGATTGATGGATTGGATTGGTGGATTGGATTGAAATTGCCACCTCTACTACCGTTGAATATGTAATGATACATAATTATTTAGCTCCCAATATTTTCGTTTACAATATTTCGGACTTAAATTGGAACCATCCGTGACTGGGTTATAATTCAAGGACAGAGTCTATGGAAATATGAAGACATGTAACTCAGCCAACCCAAACTTCAGTTAACGGACAAGATCGAATATTGTCATTTGTATTTCGTGGTTAGGGTTTTTGTTCACAATGGTCGAACAATTGACCAACTAACATGGAATGTCATTTTGGTCACTTCTGATTCTTATATCGCCTCTGATTATAGAAAATGAGACACTATGCTCGAAAACCATCATATCAACAAATTACAAAGTATTACTAATTTGGTGGTGGTGTTAGGGGAAGACATATGAGATGGATCTTAAAACATAACTAATCTTTTTTAATTGACATTGTCACTCACTTAACAATTAAAGTTGATAATTGACTGTCAATTAAGATAAACATGATAATAATAGATATTGAATGAAGAATTATCAATGATAAAATGAAATATTATTAACTTAGTAGCTATTCTAATAAATAATTTGTAAATGATGAATCTGAATTATGAAATATATTTGTAAAGCCACGAAGACCCATCATCTTGTATGTAATTCATAGCGCCGTTGCCTTTACAAATCCTCTACTTTTGCCACCACTTAGGGCACAAATGGGTTTATTTTCTCCTAAAAGCTATTTTTCCTTTTAACTCTTCAAGATTGTCGGACCTTAAGTTTTAAGAAGATAAATAAATAATTGTTTGGCCATCACTTTATGCTCCCTTGTGCTCTTCTCAAACAATAATATTTTTGTTTTGTCACATTGCCTTATGATGATAATTGATAAAGGTCTTTGGTTTGCATTGGTATTAGAAGCAGATTCTATGTTGTTGGGAATTTGGGCGTGTCAACTAGAATCCGACCACGACCACAACCCCAGAAAAAAGTTGCGTTGAGAACTTCCCAGCCCGATGGGGAAGAGATGGAGCATATGATATGATATATAAATATGATCAAAGGGATGGCAAATTGGCAATCGCATTGAGGAAAGCACACGTACGACGAAATTAATATGCAGCCGAAACAGTACCATTAACCAAGACGTATATGAGACAAGACAAACGAAGAACGAGGGATCCAAATTAAGATGCGCCTACCTACTTAGCTACCTATATCAAATATCAGGCTTTGTAAAATCATTACCATTGGTGTGATTGAAAGAACTGTACATCAAAGTTTAAATTGATAGACGGTTTCTAACAATATAAAATTATTGAACTACGATTATACCATAATTTTAGCACAAAATATTATATCACTATTTAAGTAGGATTTTACAACCGTTTGATATATATACATGTACTCATACCAGCAATCCCAACTTTTATACGCAGCAAACAAGATTCAAAGAAAGAAACAACACACGAATGCAACACAACCCAACAACTGAAAACCCATGGGAATGTGTCTGCTAAAGAGGTAACAACAGAGGAATGAGGAGTGCAGGTAAAAGAGGTCCGATCGCCCTAGCTAGCAAGCTAAATGCCAGAAACTATGTATTACAAATGCAAATCCACTATATATGCAGAGGATCCCTTAAATGTCAAGGTGGTTGAAACTTGAAAGCGATGGATATGCATGAAGCCAAATGAAGCAGGCCATATGTATATGTATGCTTTATGTAATTTACCAATTCTGTAATACTAAGAAGTGCTATATAGTGGTAGCTGATAGTGAACAATCACACACGCAATTGACCCACTCGTCCAACCCGACCCAACTCACCCGTATATATCGCTAAAACTAAAATTTTAGGTTGGATATCAGGGAAGAACCTTCGTTCTTCGCGGGATTCAATTCAAACAGAGAAAATAGAGTCGAGCGTTGCTCCCAACGGTGTCGTTCCTGTAAGCAAACACAGAAGCTAAAGTGATATCGTTTCTGGCAAAGTTCCTTTTAGTCACTAATGTTTTTGTTTATGTTACTTCCTGTTTTGGCAATGTACTTGCTTAAGACACAAGTCTTGTCTTCTTCCTCAATCTGTCTGTAAACTGAACATCCAGCTATATAAACTGAAGATCAATGAAACCAAAAGCTAAGCTCTTTTCTCTCCAACCCTAAAAGGTTGTCATGGTATCAGAGCCTCTATCTGCAGCAGCCACCACCAAGCACCATGGTTGCAAATCAATTTGCAGCAGCCACCACCACAGAAGCCTCACCATCCACCCCTCAAAATGTCGACCCAATGTCTGACCCCTTCTACCTAAACGGATCTGAACAACTTGGCATTCAGCTCGTTGCAGAAAATCTCACTCCCACAAACTACATCGACTGGAGCGCAAAGCCTTTCACAACACCCTTGGTGTCAAGAACAAACTCGGCTTCGAGGATGGTTCCATTCCAGATCCAGGACCAGGCCATGCCAATGGCTGGGCATGGACCATAAACAATATCATGGTCCTCTTATGGATTCAACAGGCAGTTGACCCTAGGATCCAAAAGACCATCATGTCTAGCAAAACAGCCATGGAAGCTTTGAGGATTGCTGAGTTGATTGAATCCATCTGCAATCTGAAGCAAGGTAACCTCTCTCACTGAGTACTATGACAATCTCATAGCCTTAAGAGACGAACTTGACAACTACCAACCCATAGAGCCTTGTGCGTGCTCCACCACTAGTCACAACACTTTTAGGGATATGTTACTGGTTCTAGGGTATAGGGACACCAACTATGTCATCCAATTCTTACGAGGCCTCAATGATACCTTTTCAAGTGTGAGGTACAAGGTTCTGTTTGGTGATGCTTTACCACCAATAGATCGTGTTTTCCAACGCATGCTTCAACACGAGAGACGGATCTCTGGCTCCAACTCAAACAAAACTCTTACTGCAGAAGGCCTAGCCTTTGCTGCTCAAGGAAATCCCAACTACCTAGGCAGAAAACCACGACCCTACTGCACCTTCTGCAAGTTCACAGGACACAGAGGATACTTGCTACCACAAACATGGGTGGCCACCTGGCATGTCCAACCCAAAGACCTCCCCTACCACAGGACGATCACTAGAGTGCACCCACTGTAAGAAACAAGGACATACTGAGGATAAATGCTTTAAGAAGCATGGCTATCCACCAAGAGCTACCTCCAAAAGCAAAGTTTCTGTTAATGCCTCCACAAGTCTTGCAGACAATAATGAAGTGAAGTTAACCAAAGCTGAATATGAGAGGTTCGTGAACATCATGAAGGAGAATGATATGGGCAAGGGACACCCGAGCTCAAGTCCTTCCTTTTCCGTTGCAACATGGGTCACACAGACTCCTCAACCCTCAGGTAAATTCAGCTTAACTGTTTCCAATGATTCTGCTACTCAACATCCTTGGATCCTCGACACAGGTGCCTCAGACCACATAGTGTGGTCTCTGAATTATCTAGTGCAGCCCAAGAAGATATCAAACATACCCATAACCCTGCCTACAGGAGATCAGGTCCAAGCAACACATGTTGGCATAACCACTTGTGTTGCTAATCTGCTCCTTGAAAATGTTTTGTTTGTCCCCCAATTCAACTTCAATCTCATATATGTGAGCAAACTCACCACAAACCCCTCACTTAAGTTAACCTTCTTTTCTACTGTCTGTCTCATACAGGATTTGCAGTTGAGGAGGATGATTGGTTCTGCTAAGCTCACCAATGGCCTATACTTTTTTTATAGGAACCTCATAGATAGCCCTCCCCAACCTTTTGCTGCAACTACTGAACAGTCTTTTGATCTATGGCACTATAGATTAGGCCATGTTTCACATTCTAAAGTCCCTCACTTGAAGAAAATTTGTACATCCATAAAACACATGCCTCTCTCCCTTG